ACAGCAGCCAACCAAAGTATAAAAAAATGTTTCTAGAGCAGCAGGTTTCCCTTAGATATACATGTGTGGGGAAGGCAAAACCTTTGGGGATACACATCATTTTTCAGGGTGGTATATATCTGTAGCTGCAGCTTAGTATGTAGTAGTAATGTGTATGTCTGTGAATGCCTGGAACAAACTCCCATAGTATGTATGCAGAGGCATGTCTGCATAAATTGATTTCTGACGCAGAGTCTTATGAGGAGTTCTGTTTGTCAGGTTAGACAGGACAAAAGGCTGCAGTCAGGTCCCAAAAGCTGCTATTATAGCCTTAAATATGTGAAGTTTTATGGCGTTTACACTTTAAAACTGTCTTATAAAACCTTCAAAGCAAAAGGAAGTTTGTGTTCATGAAAAATGGAAAGATGAGTTCCATAAGAACGCATCTCAGACACGCACATTGTCTAAAAATTCAGGTTCAGGTTGCATGCATTTATCTCAGAATGTTAAACCTTTAAATCCTGAAATACACTGAATAAAAGTTTTTTTTCACTTTCTTTTACCACATATTATGGTAAATTATTGTTTTTTTTTAAAGGCCAAATGCGACAAAATGCCCAAAGGGATACACAAGTCAAAAAGGTTGGGCAACACTGCTGCTGGCGGTTCCTTTGCTAAAGACCTTCTGCTTATCTCAATGAGAGCCTCACCCAGAGGGGAAAATAATTCACTTAAGCTGCTAAATCTTGCCTTTTTTTTTTATCTCCACACAGAAATTGCTGTCAGCAGGAGATGGTAACACGCTTAATGTTCCTGCTCCTCAGAGAAGAGCAAAGTCTCTGGATCGCCGGACATCAGACATGGCCATGACGGTAAAATGTTGGACAGGTTGCTTTATTAGAGTGTCTGTAAGAGGCGGCTGGTCTGGATGAGGTTTATCTGATGTGTTCTCATATTTAGAATCCCAGAGGCTGAGATCTCAATCAGAATGTCTTCATTTCTGCCCTTCAACACTAGAAAAGGTTTCTTTGCCCGATTTACTGATACAGTTTCTCATCTCTTATTTCATCTTTTTTCAATTTATTTAAAAAAGGTGTGTGTCCGCTACGAGCCACCATGTACAGAAAGTTAAGCTCTTTCTCTTCTCGGCTATTAGCTGATCAGATCTCACGTTTTGCCTCCTTCTGATGCATTTTTAAAAAGAGATTTTTTTTTTTTTTTTTTAAGAATCAATCAGAAAAACAACCACAAAGCCCAGTTTGTTCCCATTAATGCTTCTGGCAAATGTCTGCTGGACCCCGTCTACTGCAGTGCTTAAAGCTCATAACAGGACCTTAGCCTCTGATTTTCACCAAACAAAATGATTATTTTTTTTTCTTTTTTTTTTTTTTATTAAACTCTCTGCATTTGAGCAGTGGGCTGCCATTGTGCGGCGCTCAGGGACCCAGAGGGGCCGTGTGGGGAGTGGCGCAGTGGAAACCTCTGGATTTCAAGTGTAATGCCTAAACCACTAGGCCGCCACTCCTTGATGTCTCTATTGACACTCAGATATTTCTTTGCAGCAGCTCTCCCCATGCATCAGTACTTGGAAAGTTGTCAGCTCAGCTTAAAGTTTATTTACTGAAAAATAATAATTTTGCCAAAGTGTTGAATAAGTTAATAAAACGATAATTATTAATGTAACACGGACGGAGAAAAGATGGCGGAATCCGGTATTAGCCATTAAGCAATTTATCTTTTCCAAATATTAAATATTAAATAAGGAATGTCCCAAAATTGCTGATTTTCTTCCACGCATAATATGCAGGATGGCTGAGCCTATTCGGGCCATTTTCTTTCTAATTTCAAGGCTCTAAATATGTTTTTAGGGTGGATTTTATTTGATTACCAAAGTCCCTGATTTACAACCTGATTTTAATGAATCTAAAATCTTTTCTTGAGAAGGAGCTGGTCATAAAAAACTGACAGGAGCATTTTGGAATTAGTCTTAGTTTCAGGAAAAGGTGGAAGGTTCCTCCAGACTGGACAGCTAACTGCTCTACAATCTTTAGATCTGGATATCCATAATAATTATTGTCTCTTTTGATAATGGTTAATTATTGCCTCCATCTCTGGCTTAAAGCTTCATCTTTTTTATGACCTCTATTAAACTGTTAGTAACTCATCCAATATGCTTATTTAAATGGACCACAACCGAACCAGTTTGCACCTTTTGTCATTGCACACGTGTCTTTGTAGATCACCTGCAACATGCCCACTTATGGCATAAGCATTGTCTACTTTTTGTCAATGCAATTTATTTTCATTTGAAATCTTTGAAGATTAGGAAAATAAATACTGAAAGCTTTTTAATGTATTCTCATTTTTATTTAAACTTGTTTTCTTCATCTTTCCAGCCAGATTTATTGAATTTCAAGAAAGGCTGGATGATGAAGCTTGATGAAGATGATGAGGAGGTAAATTCAGAAAAAAAAAATACAAATTTCAGTTGTCCTGATAAAGGTTTCCACAGTGATGGAGCTTTTTGGATGTCCTTTGCTTCCCTCTAGTGGAAGAAATACTGGTTTGTTCTGTCAATGACCAGTTTGAGATACTACAAGGACTCATTAGCAGAGGAGGTACGTTCATGTTAGAGCAGAAACAACCAATAATCCAAAGTATTTAAGACCTAAAAGTGTCTCTTTTCATTTCAGTCTTCAAACCTTGAAGGAGAAATCGACCTAACAAAGTGTTACAGCGTGTCCGAGTATCGGGTCCAGAGAAACTACGGCTTTCAGATCCACGTAAGGCTACGCTATGATGGGCTATAAACACAAGAGTCCAAAGTGAAGCTGTTGCTGAGGAGTATAAATGTCCTCTTTGAATCTCATAGACTCAGAGGTCGGTCTACACGCTGTCTGCCATGACTGCAGGAATACGCAGGAACTGGATCCAAGCCCTGATGAAGAACGTGCATCCAGCCAAGGCACCAGACGTAACCGAGTGAGCTCTCAACCTTTGTGTTACGCCGTCTTTGTGTCGGTCCAATTCCAACATTCACCTTAATAAGAGAGAAACAACGATGCCTCCCTCCTTAAGCTCACTGGTTTTTTTACTTGCAACTAGGAGTTCAACTGATATAGGGAGACCTAGGAACACTTTTAATGTTGTAGGTCTATGGCTTAAAGCTTTAATGATTACCAAACATTAACAATCGTGGTAACAGTTTTCCAAAACTATGTTAATAAATGATTCATGTTGTGTAAAATAAAAATAAAAAAACAATGTTTATAATCCTCTGCTTTAATCACAGAATGAAAAACAAAGTTAAAGGAATCGATTGTCCTTAAAGTAGAAATGTTTTCTATATTTAATCTGGTTAAAGTACCAACTTTCTCAACTTTCTGTGCATCATTTCTCTAGCCTCTGTATTCTGCCTTCCGTAAAGATATCAGCTCTTCTCACCACCTTTCTGTTCCATATCCTCAGCTTACCTGGCCGCCACATTCCCTCCAGCCCGCCTGAGGTCATCCCCAAGCCAGATGTGACACAGGACTCTGCAACCAACAACGTTCCTGCAATTAAAGACCATCCCCCCAAATCCAGGAGCGTTCTGGAAAGACAGAACGAAGCTGAGAACCAGGCGACGGCAAACACAGACTACTCTCCAGAGCTGGGTGATCTGGAGAGACGGAGGAGGAGGGAGGAGAGGAGGAAGAGGTACGAGAGCTTGTTGGGCTTCCCTCTGGGTAAAGGGGAGACCCAGAAAGCAGAAGACGGCGCCGTGAAGGCCCTGAGTCCAAAGTCCCAGAGGAAAATGGAGGAGAAGATAGCAGAGTGCTGGAGGCAGGTGGAGAGCTCCAGGCTGAGACCAGAGAGGACGGTTATGCTGTCTGCTGAGGACAGGGATACTCTGGAGGTGGAGAAGCAGCTGCAGGGCTGCAGGAAGGTGGTGAGTGGAAGCTCAGTGTACCTAGCTGTATAAAGTGTAGCATGGTGCTTTAGGTACTTCCTTCTGATTGGTTCAGCTTTTCTGATCGCCAGTTTACCATCTAGATGGAGCCCAGATTTAAACCTGAGCTACTGTGTTAGCAAATGTTGAAAAGTTAAATCATTCATGATACGCTAACGTGCTGTCCGATGTTAAGTCTCTCTGAGGGACCGACCTGCACAACATTAAAAAGATCAGATATGTTTAAGATGTGATCCTATTTCTCCTCTTCTGACTTTTCCTTCATTATTGCTGCGTCTTGATTGTATAATTTCTGCTGTTGGAGGTCGATGAGCTGAAATCCCAGCTGGCCGATTCGGAGCGCCACAGACTCCAACTGGAAGCTCAGCTCAGAGCAGCCGGATTGTGTCTGAAACAGGTCAGTAGATACAGAACCCTGTCACTTTCTGTTATAGAATAGAAAATCCCTTTAATGTACCACAATGGGGAAATGTTGGTGTTACAGCAGCGAAAGGTTATAGCAAAAGTGGTCACACAATGTGGACCTTAAAAAGTGTATAAAAATAACAGAATAATTAACAGAGTTGAGAAAATAAGCAAATAAATACTGTACTGCACAGTTTTTTTTTACAAATATAAATACTGCACAGTCATTTGAAGAATAAATAATCATAAAAAGCTGTGGACATTTTTACAGTAATGGATTTGTTAAAATAGCAGCAACATCAGAGATGTGCAAAAAAATGACAGCAGCAGGTTATTTAAATGACTAAGAGAGAAACTGAAAAAATCAGCATGAATGTAAAAACGTATTGAAGTTGTTGGAAACATTGGTGGTTATAAAGTTGCTGGGAGGAAGGATCTGTGATAACGCTCCCTGGTGCATTTAAGGTGCAGCAGTCTGTGACTGAAGGAGCTGTCCATTTCAGCACCAGCTGAACCAGCATGGGGGGGAGACATTATCCAACAGAGATTTTAATCTAGTTAGAATCCTTTTGTTTCCCACAGATGCAGATGCAGATCATGTTACTTTGCTGAATTTTATTTGTGTGATTATTCTGTTGAGGGAGGCGGTTGATAAATAGTTGTCAAAGGGTTTTTATATAAATGCAAAAATAAAACATTTTGCTTACATTCAGCCAAACCTCATTTTGCTGCAGCTGCAACTTTGAGTTGTTTAGTATCGTCTCCTTGATCTTCACACATCTGGAAACTAAAATGTTTGCTTAATATTTCAAAGTGAGTCGGCTTAGATGGAAATCATCTGTGGTCATCATTCATATCATCTTATCTCGCTTTGTTCACTGGATATAGATCTTGACTTTCACTGGTCCGCTCTGACTCATTATTGCGCCCTGATCTAAACTACACCACTTTCTTCTGGCTGTATGTTGAGGGTCATCGTCTGCTGGAGAGGGAAGCTTCACCCAAGTTTAAAGTTTTCTTTTACTCCAGGACTGTCCTCTATTTAGCTCAACAAAAGAAAACAAATCTACACAGCATGATGCTGCCACCACCGTGGCATAGCTCTGAGTATAAATATATTTATAGCTCTGAGTATAAATATATATCATCAAATTTGGTCTCCATCCATCCTTTGTCCATTTTTGAGACAATGGATTGAACAAGCCTCAGGATATTGTTTTATGATCTAATCCTGCTTTTAAACCTCCACAACTTTCTCCCCGACCATCTGCTGGGTCCCTTGGTCCTAAAAATGCTTTTTTATTTTTTATCTTCTGTAACAAACCTCAGAGGCCTTTGCATTCCGACATTAAATCTCTCAGACGTTATTCAATCTAAAGATGATAGCTGCTAGTTTAAGGTTAATTCTAAACCAAACATGTAATTTACCTGTTCATCAGACAAGCAGAAACCTCCACATATCTTCTGAGCTCCTTTTGCTTCCTTAAGTCGCCACCTACTTTCAGAAATGTGAGCGATGCTCACCTGCAGTTTGCTTCTTTTTTGGGTTGAATCTGAGAAATTTAAAGCTGAGGAGAAACTATTTCTCAGCTCTGTCATGGAGCTACTAGGATCTGGAAACATCTGAGCTCCAAGTCACCTGACTTCAAACTACTATTGAGTTCAAACTGCTATTCCTATTGGTGCAGAATCCATTCATGTTGTTAACAAGAAGTAAATCTTAATGCATTTTGGACCTGTCAGCCATATTTAAAAGAAATTTATTTATATACTTCATTTTTCAATTTATCAGTCAAATCAATATTTCTATTCTGTATATCTCTACATGTCCTATGGATTTATTATTTTTTTTTAATGATTTTTTTTATAGAAACTTAAGTTACTATAGACCTATTAATTAACCAAATAACTGAAATTGGTTAACCTGGATTTTTTTTAAAGGATATTAGAGTAAATGGGTTGAATATTAATACATGCTTTAGTTTTTAGAATTTGTAATTATTTTAATTTTCCAATGAAACTTTATTTGTATTGATCTGTCTTTGCAAATTCCAGTTTTAACATGAACAAATGCAGGAAAGTCTATAAGATGTGAAAGACTTATATCCACATTAAATCAGTTTTTTATGTCTAACTCTGCTATGGATCAATGTTAATATGTCTTTGAAAAATTAGTAAAATATTCCTGCTTTCTATCTGAGTTTCTCCTTTCCTTCGGTTTTTCTCCAGCAGGACCCTTCGATCTTATCTGAAGCAGTCTTCCTCCCAGCAGATCTACATTTAAAGCCGCTAACAGACATAAATGGTTTGGATCGATTGTGTCAGAGGGAACCACATGCTAAATCACCTTCATTAGGATCAGACTGTGATTCCCAACAGTTTTTGGTACCAGAAAAACCTGAAGGGAGAGACATCCGCGAGAGCCCTGTTGCTACAGACCAGTCTGTAATGAAGAGGCTTTCCCAAGAGGTTGAGCTGCTCACCAGTCAGAACCAGGCTCTCAACCAACGCAACCAGGAGATGGTAAACCAGCTGACTGAGGCAGACCGTGAGATCGAGAGGCTGAAGGTAGAGCTGGGCAGCCGATACACGGAGCCCCATCACCTTCCTGAGGTGGAACAACAGGAGAAGATGAAGCTGGAAGACTTGGAGAGGCAGCTGAGTCTGAGGAACCAGGAGCTCCTGGAGGCTCAGATGCTGATCACCTCTTTGGAGGAAAACCTGAAGGAGACGGAGGCACTGCTGCAACTAAAAAATACAGCAGAAACAAACAGATTAGCAGAAGAAGAAAACAAACACAGGGCAGAAAAGGCAGAGCTGCTTCAGCGTCTGGATGCTACAGAGGCCAAAGTGATGGAGCTGCAGAGGCAGCTGGAAGAGTCGGAGCTGACCCGCAGGCAGCTGGAGAACCACAACATGGAGCTGAAAGAAACAGGAGAACTTTATCTGCAAAGAGCTTCAGAGGCCGAGGCAGACATCAGGAGGCTGGCTGAGGAGAAAGCGGAAGAAGAAGAAGAAGACAGGAGCCGGATTGTTCCTGCTGAAGAAAAGATCCAGCAAGTGATAGAAGGAGCAGTAATGAGGCAGAAAGCTTTAAGGACACTACTGCAGCTTATCGAAAGTTTTGACTTCAACGGAGAACCAGAGGAAGAGGAGGGGAGTGCCGGCATGGTGATGCAGCTGCGGTGGGAGGAAACATTTTGGAGATCTCTCCTGGATAAACTGAGGGACGATCGGCCTCAGCTGAAGAACCCGATAGGAGAGCTTCTGTGTGAGGTGGTGGAAGGGTTGATGTTGGAGGATCAGATGGTGCTGGAAGGCCTACAGCTGCTTCTTCATCCGGAGGAGATGAGAGGCAGGGAAGCAGGGACATGTGAGAGCAAAGCTTTGGACGATGGAAACTTTATCTGGGAAAGTTCTGCACCTTCTGAAACCAGAACAGAGGAGGGAAGCTGTAGGTCTGGTTTTAAAGATCTTCTGAAGAATCTGGAGGCTGTTACACAGACCAAGATCTCCTCACTACACCTCCTGGCCTCCTCCTCCTCCTCTGGAAGCAGCTCTGCTCTCGACAGACTGCTGCCGGCAGCTGATAGACTCTATGATTTTTACTCATCTCCCCATCCTGCGTCAGTTTCTTTCATTCACTCTGCAGCCACTCAAGCGTTCTGCTGCTGCCTTCTACGCAGGCTTCAGTCCAAATACGAGAGGAGAAGATGTTCCAGCTGTGTCAGCCTCACAGAGGAAAACGAAGAGCTGAAAACAAGACTGTCGATCCTGGAGGAAGCGTCTGTCTCAGATAGTCCCAGGATGAGCACAGGCTGCCAGACTGATGAAAGATCCTCAACGTTTACAGACACAGAGCTACAGAGTTCAGGAGAGCGTGATGTGGAGGAGACGTCTGACATGGAGCTGACTGAGAGCGAAATCCCTCTGACCGCACTGCAAACGGTCGCAGCATCAGAAGAAAGAGATGAGGAGGAAGCTGGCCGGCAGTCACAGCGGCTCTCTGAACTCAAGCTAAAAGTGGAAGAGCTGGAGGAACAGCTGCGTGTCTCAGGAGAGAAGCTGAGGGAGGATTCTGAGGAGAAGATGAGAAATCTGCAGGAGCAGCATGAGAGGGAGATAGAAAAGCTGAAGGTAGGCGTTTCCCTTTTGGAGGTGCAGGGTTTCCATACGGTTCTCTGTGGTTGACTTTTCTTTCCAAAACCTGGATCAGGAGGACATGTCTGCTGTGAACGCAAACATGGTAGGCCTCCCTTCAGCTTCTTAGCGAGCGCTTAGCTTGTAGAGAGAGGGAGGAGATGGTTTTGCTTGTGTGATACTTTGCAGAAATCAGCTTTAGGGCTGAAACAATTAATCCGATTAATTGATCAATGAAATAATCTTCAACTAATTTAGTAATCGATTAATCATTAACTGGAATATAGAGACTGTAAAACATGCCTTTAGCTGACAGAGCGACCCAGAGCAGTAATTATACCCAAACTGTAAAAAAATAAACATTTTAAATTAAGAGAAAAAATAAAATTTGTTTAAGATTTATTGTCAACTATGTTTGTACTTACAAGGAATTTGACTTGGTGTTTATGGTGCAGAGAAATTAGATATTTATACAGGATACAGAATCTATAGTTATATACAATATAAAACACACAATATACTATATACCAGAGGTCTTCAACAGGGGGTCCGTGACCCCTAGGGGGTCCACAGAGGTACTGCATGGGGGTCGCGAAAGTTTTGGTCAATTAGACTTTTTTTATATTCCCCCCTGCAATTTTTCCCAGTAATTGAAATATCTTTAAATACACTTTGTCATGAATTCAACACACTGTAGTAAACAGATAAATGGAGGCAGAGGATCCCAGGGAGGGATTACTTTAGTTACATTACTCAATCTGTAACAGAGTGACTATAGGACCAGTTTGATAGAACACAATTTCATACAATATATATAATTAGGGGGTCCCCGCTCCATCTGCCATCAGTTTGGGGTCCTTAGCCTGGAAGACGTTGAAGACCCCTGCTATATACAATATATAGTATATAGCTATATACTATATACAATATATAGTATATAGCTATATACAATATACAATATATAGTATATAGCTATATACAATATATAGTATATAGCTATATACTATATACACATTAGGCTGTGCGTTAATGGTCTATCCAGAACTCCTCAAGTGGATAAGTTTGGGTTTCACCTGCTTTAATTTCAGAAAAAAAGTCCTTTGTAAGGAATCAGAATATTAATCCGACAGATCAATCGATTTGCAAAATAATCATTAGTTGCTCTAATCAACTTACATTAAATAAGCTGGAGCAATAACTTAAATATATGCTAAGAGAATAAAGGCCTAAATTTAAAGAGGGATTTTAAAAAATGCTGATTACAAATAGTTTATTTTCATAAAGCTGTTTAGATTCAACTTTTTCAATTATTTTTTTCAGCAAATCTTTTTTTCATAGGCTGGAATTTTAGTGTTTGAAAGGTTAAAGGTTAAAGTGGAGGATGTTCTTTTTCAGTGTGGATCATCAAAATAAGTGGCCCTTCTAACTGTCAATCATTCTGGTGATGTGTATGTAAGGTTTTCACTTACCGATGGAGAGTCTGAAATAGTGGAAAAACAGCTAATCTTTTGGAAAGTAAGCTTGTATGAGAGATTCAAACAGCAACTTTTAAACAGAGTGCACAAGGGGAAAGGGGCTTGTTCACGCGTTTAATAGACGTTCCCTCTCTGGAGAGGGTAGAGGGTTGTTCATGTGCATTTTGTTTTTAAAGTGGAGAGGGCGGGTCTTACCAAAAAATTCACGAAAATCCTCCACTTTACCTTTAAGGGAAAATTTGATTTCTGTGAAAATGAATTAAATGTTCATCTGCTGCCGTACAGCAGAGATTAAAAACCACAGAAACATTGATCAGGGTTTTGTGGATAATTTCTGATCTCCAGTTTCTGTGAAGCCTTCGTCTGCAGAGACCAGCTTAGCTCTGTATTTACCTTCTATATATATATGTGTGTGTGTGTGTGTGAGCATTGGTGAATTAAGTTTTCCCCTGCTGGTCTCCACTTGATCCAGATTAAATATCAGGCCTTTAGACTGACCTGAACTGGAGTGTGTTTGTGTTTCCAGGCCACATGTGAGCGCGGTCTGGTCGCCATGGAGGACTGTCATGAGAGGGTGGTGGAGGAGCTGCAGCGTCTGCACCAGCAGGAGGTGGAGCGCCTCCTGCTGGAAAGGGAGAGACTGCTGGAGGAGGAGAGCTCAGCCACTGCCACCGGTGAGATATCTTTGGACTTAAACCTGAAAATCACAATCCATTCTCAAATAACCCTCCCTCTCTTCCTTCTCCTCCTGCAGCAATAGAAGCGATCATGAACGCTCACCGTGAGGAGCTACAGAGAGAGATCCAGAGAACCCAGGCGGAGAACTCTGATGGAAACATTCAGCTGGAGGAGATCCACAGGCAGCACAGGTAGCTGCTCTCCTAATTTACAGAGGAGCAAAAACGCATCAGACTGGGAGAAGGCTGAGGGACTGAACTTGCTGTCAGAGTTAATTTGATTAAAATAAACAGTTTTGTTCAGAGAACTTTGAGATGGGAAGAAAAACCTCCCAAGTTCTCATCCTAAAAACCTTTAAACTCAAACTTATTTCCTTCAGGAAGTCAAAAGTCTTTTTTCAGTTGCCAGTAAAAAGCTCAATAATCTTTAAAATCTGGTGAAGATTTTCAGTCATCCAGGTCATAGTCATTCCAAAAAAGTTAAAAAAAAAAAAACAATCTACTGGACTTTGTTTCCAAGTTTGAAGACGTTTCGCTTCCGTCCAGGAAGCTTTTTCAATTAAAAATATCAGAATTATCGTTGAGTTTGAGGCTCTATAGGGTGGACCAAAAACACAGCCTTGTTTTGGCCTAGAAAACATGCAAGTTTAACCGGATGGACGGGTCCACCCCTTTGGAATTAGGGTTGTTTGACTTCTTTGTAAGCCTGTAAAATCTGATACCCGTCTATGTCTCTGACAGGGGGTCGTTAGAGGGAATTGTTGGCCTGGCTGGAACAGGCGTTGATTTTTTTGTTTTGGAAGGAACGACCCTGTCCAAAGGGGCAGACCCGTTCATCTGTTTCAATTTGCATGTTTTCTAAGCCAGAACAAAAATAAAAGCTTTCTGGATGGGAAACGAAACGTCTTCAAACTTGGAAATAAAGTCCAGTGGATTGTTTTTTTTTTTACTTTTTTGGAAATCATTAAAATCTTTCAGAAAAACAGATTTTTATCCATTAGGATAAATAAACAAACAACTAGTGCCTTCATGTGTTGAAACATTCCTCTAAAAGTTAGGTGTTAAAAAGGGCACTATTCTCATATTTCCACAATCCCTAAAGGAAATCAATAAAACATGAAGAATAGCTCCAGTATTTAATCCTATGATGCTAATTCTAATCTCTGTGTTTAAAGGGAGGAGCTGGCCTCCTTCCAGCGGGAGCTGGATGTTTTGTCCCAGCAGTTCTCCCTAAAGTGTCTGGAGAATGGACATCTGGTCCAGGCTCTGGACGCAGAGAGAAAGGCCTTGTGTCAGTGTCAGCAGGAGAACCAGGACCTGAGGAGCAGGAACCAGGTGAGACAGACTCTTTCCTCACTGCTCCCTGATTATCATTGGGTTCATCTGTCATTATCTCAGCTTCTTTTAGTCATTTTTCTGTCTCTACTTGTAAACTAGAACCTGACATCATAAACGTCTCTTCTTTCCTCTTGAATCATAGAAGTGTTTCGGATTAAAGCGTTATATACAGCAGCGAATGAGCTCAGAAACTGATGGAGATCTGGGAAAATAATTGTAGTGGCACTTAAATTATTATTCTCTTGAGAATGAGAGCAGACAGAGAAGCAATCGACCTCGTGTCTTGGTCCGCCTTCTCTGCTCTGACAGAGAAATGCTAACTTAGATTATCACCAGATAAAAACAAATACCCTGCATTAGCCGAAGAGACAGGCTGTCCGGTGGATCTGGTTCAAACTGGACACAACAAGCAGGGCAAACATGACAACAGATGATAAGCTGATCTGACCTGGACGCTCAGTCCTAACAGTGATGCACCACAGATGGTCACATATTAAAATATTCCCTCCATCAGGCTGCAGAGATAATAGCTGGAGCTGAGTTTTCTTTCCCAGCTTGTTTACACGAAGGGTATTTCCTATTTAGTCCCGTTTTCGTCACTCTCTCCAACCTAAACACACACACACACTCACACACACACACACACACACATACACTACTGTTCAAAAGTTTGGGGTCACATTGAGATGTCCTTATTTTTTAAGGAAAAGCACTTTACTTTTCAATGAAGATAACTTTAAACTAGTCTTAACTTTAAAGAAATACACTCTATACATTGCTAATGTGGTAAATGACTATTCTAGCTGCAAATGTCTGGTTTTTGGTGCAATATCTACATAGATGTATAGACA